GGCCCCGGTAGGGATGAAAACGCGGGGGGGGGTGGAGGAGGGGGGGCCCCCACGGGGCTTCGGTCGTTACTGAGACCCGCTCGGCCGCAAGCCGGGTATTTGGCTGCCATCGAATCTCCAATCGGGCTTCATAAAAGCCCACTTAGCGCTTAGAACAAACAGGGCCATTTGAAGGCAAAATGTTGTTTGATTTCCTCTCCGCCTGCACAAGGAGCTGGCTAATGCTATTTGATTTCCCATTTTTGATAGCAATAAGCCTGCATTGATCTAATAGCGAGTGAGTGCAATGCTATTAAAGGTGTTTGCCGCCCCATACCAGAGTGCATTTCCCAAGCCGGGTCTCATAACCAGAGAGACGATAAACATTGGGATGCCCTGATTGCCAACAGAAAACAGATGTCTCTGGGTCTGAAGCCGAGCAAATCACTTTACAGTTAAAATCGGGCACTGATAAAGCATAATAAATTCCATATGGCTCATTTAATACACAACAGCTTCTTGCATTAGAGGGGCTAATGATGAGATTTGTCCCCTCCTTTCTGTTGACACATTTCTCCATTGTCAAACAGAGATGTGACAGCAAATCAGTATTTTCAGCTCAGGGGAACAAGTCGTGGGAAAGTTAAATAACTTTAAAAAAAAGAAAGACACCCCTTTTCTCTCTCCTCTATTCACGGGAGAAGATGTAATTAAGGGAATATGAATTATGAGAGTCCCTTCGTTTACCTTTGGGTGTACTTAGACTTATTAATTCAATAAGGGGGAATTGCGAGCGAGGACAGCTTGCTAATTGAGTTTTAGCTGGGAGAGACGCTCCCCCCCTGCCACGCCACCCCATGCCGGGCTGTTGGCTTCCCCGCGAACGCGATGCCTTTTCCTGCGTGGGTACCTCAAGGGCCATGCGTGGGGATCAAGTCTCGCTCTACGGCTCCGTGGAGAGACCCGCAGCGCTGCTGCCTTCCTCACTTCCCCGGGGAGAAGGCATCTCACGCTGAGCTTACAAAGCCGAGCCTAAAAAGGGGAAAAAAAAAAATCAAAACCCAAAACCTCAGCCCACCCCAGCCCTAAAAAATTGTGAAATGCCTGTCTCTCTCAAAGTCTCTCTCCTTAGGTGCGTGTGGTGCCTCGCACTTGGTTATTAAGCGAGTATTTTCTTTCCCTTTGAAATGCTGTATTTTATTTTTCTCCCTCTCCCTCTCTCCTGCTTTAAGCCCCTGTTAGTTCACGATTTTTCCTTCGCGGGAGGGGGAAGAGAGGCAGGGGACGGCAGTGCCGCAGCCTCCTAACTAACTTTCCTAAAACAGATCCTAAAAGGGACGCCTGGAAACGTGTGTTTGCTGCTTTGGTTGCCTCGCAAATTATTTCTTCGTTTCAGATGTTAGTGAAATCACGATTTTTTCTTTTTTTTTTTTTTTTTTTTTCCCTCCCCCCGTCGCTCTAAATCTGAAAGGGGAGGAAAAAAGAAAAAAAAATCCATCATCCGCGAACGATATTATTTGTAAAATAAAATTTTAAAAAAGAAAACAAAAAAAACCCCTAAAAACCAACAAGAAGGAGCCGCGCTGCGGGCGCGGAACAAAAACCCGCGGAAGCCCCACGGGGGAACCGCTGTCCCCGCGGAGCAGACGGGGCGGGGGGGG